AAAAAAAAAAAAAAAAAAAAATGGCAGTGAGGCTGTAGGGGTGCCCGAGTTTTAGGACCTGATGAGACTGGGGCTTGATGGAATCCTAAGCAGATACCAGTCTCACCCTGCTTCTTGCCTCAACGCTTCCTATATGGTAGTTTGATATCCTCACAAAGCCTCACGTTCCCCAGGTCTCCACTCTTCAAAGGCCAGGCCTAGTCAATGCTTTAAACATGTGCACACAAAAGCATCATTGTTCACAGCCCAGAAAGAGACTCGAGAGGCGGCTTACCAAAATCAGCCAGTTTGAGCTCTCCCAGGTGACTGATGAGTAAGTTCTGAGGTTTCAGGTCCCTGTGAAGAACGTGTTGGTGGTGGATGTGCGCCAGGCCCCGCAGAAGTTGAAACATGAAAAGCTGGAAGGAATGAACACCCTATCTCAACAGAGTGGAGCCACTATGTGCTGATTTCTCCTCTAAATCAAAAACAGTCATCTGAAAGAATTTGGTAAAAGTGTCTCCTGAGAGACAAAAAAAATGAAGATTTTACATTCAGAGGGGAAAAAAGGACAAGGAAAGTCAAATAAGTAGACCATGTCCTAAACAAAGGGATTCTGGCTTTTCCTGACACCTCATCTCTTTAATACTGAAGGAATTACCCTTCCTTAAATATCTAAAGGGAAACTTTGAAGTTTCCTTTGGAACACTAGTTATTGATTTAGATGTGAAAGATTTAATTTTCTTTCCCACCAATGAACTTGGCGTATAAGATCAAAGTTGACCTGGAAATGCGAGTCTAAGGTTTACAAGTGCCTAAGTTTTCCAGGCTCTCTGATATGAAACCCTTTTAAAAACAGAACACAAGAGGACCAGACTGGGAAATGTATCCTTAGATGGTAGTAGGAAATAAAGCAACCATTATCTTCTTAAATTTATTTTTAAAGTCTTAGGTTCAAAGTTGAAAACAAGGGAAATATACAGTATAGATTAAGAGGGGAGAGAGATCAAAAGAAATTAGACAAAAAAAAATCAAAAGAGAATAAGAAATAAATAGTAGAGAGAAGAAAGAAGGACGAAAACAACAGCAAAAATATATTCTGAGCCCAAATTTTAAAATATTGCACATGGCTATAAGGCACAGAAACCAAAGATATTATTAGGTTCCCACCAATATAGAAGCTTAAGGAAAAAAAAGAATGCTTAATATTCTAAGTGTCTTTTGCTATTTTCCAGTGCCACTGGCAATTGAGAATTCAAACACCAACACTAGTGTTTACAAAGACCTATGCCAACTGGGAACATGTTCTGGCTGTTTAGAAAAGAAAGCCCCAGCATTCCTGGGGACACAGGCAAAATAGCAGATGCAGAGCTGTGTGGATAAATCCACTTTTTCCATTACATATCGGAAACTAGGAACTTCAGAGATGCTAGGACCTGCACTGAGCTAACAATGCCTTAGAAACATTGGAGCCGAGTTGACGAGCAGCGTGATCTGACCACAGCAGGACCTTGGGGAGCGTACCCATCACAGCACAGCTGTGGCCGTGTAGCTTCCACGCAGGTCCCACATCAGGGTCACAAACTGTGAAAGAATGTTAAAATTTTCTTGAGACCCCCACTTCAAATGTTCACTGGTTCTATGAGTCTTCCCAGTGATTCTCTTCCTGGTGCTTCAAACACACAGTGTTCATTTTACCCTTCATCACATCACTCAGCTGCCAAAGCACAAAATTCCTATACCAACATTTAAACCTTCCAATCGGTTATAAATATAGATGTTCATGGAAAAGACATATAAAGAACCGACTCAAATTCCAGGTACAAGATAAGATGCCATAGTATGGGCTTAAACATACGTTTTTCAATGTAATAGTGCTAAAGAAAGAGGCAGATGGAGACAGGTGAGGGACAGAGACCAAAGGAAGGGAAAATAACATTTAGTGAACACCTAGCGCCTTTTGTAATCCTCAAAACAGCCCTGTGAGGAAGATACGCTTGTCCACGATTTACAGATAAGAAAAACAGGGCTCAAGGAAACTTTAAAAACATGTTGAGAAAGAGTCAGGGCCAGGTCTCAAATTCAGACCTGCCTGACTCCACTACGCCATGCTGAGAAACCCAAGAGAAGACGGTTAAAACATGCCGGGGAAGGAAAGAGGCAGCCGAGCCAGAGACGGGGCTTCTAAGCAGCAGGCTCAAATGCCTTTCCTGGCCCTGGGATGGACTGTTCTCATCTGTGAGTCACACCCGCCTCCCTCCTCCGTGCTCCTCAATCCCTTTCCTCCCTGTCTCAGCAGACGTCGACATGTATTTGTACACAATAAAACACTGCAGTCCTAAGGTTTGGTATTTCACAGCCACGCTTCTCAAAACTGCAGTCTGCGCTGACTAACCTCACCTACTCATTCTCAAGTCCCTTAGAACCTGAACTCTTCCATCAGCACTGCCGAAGCTGCACCAACTATACGCCCCAGTCTGGTGGTGCTTTCCCAGTCACCATCAAGCCAGATGGTGGGTGACTCTTTCCAGAGAGGCTCACATACCCCAGGGGTTAGTCCTGTTTCCAACACAGTGAGGCTCTTGGGAACAAAATATTTTCACTGGGCTAGTGCCATCTGGGCTAGGAGTCCCTCAAAAACACAATTAGATCAATCAGCCAACTCCAGCAGGGAAGCCCAAGTCCTTCCACTCACCAGTGATCCCTGGGATTGTTCTATTAGAAATACGACACAGGCTGTCCTCACTGTGATTGCCATCCTGTCTTCTGTGGTCACTACTCAAAGTACAAGGCTCTCTGACTATTTCTTTTTCCCCTTGGGAGCTCATTGCCATACTGCTTTGCACGCCCTCTCATTTAACCCAGCATCCATCGTTCCTCCCTCTCCCAACCCTTCTCATGGTTCACTCTTCACTCCTCATTCCTGATTTAAAAACTCTCTACGACCCAACCACTAGTGAATTTCCTTCTGGCTCCATTCCTTAAATGACACCTCGAGTTCACTGCTTCCCTGCAGCATTCTCAGGTGGATGCTGGTTTTTCTACAATTTGCTCATATCTTTGATGACCGTGAGGTGGAGTCAGCTGCCTCCTGACTCCCCAATACCACTTCAAAACCATTGCTTCTCCACCCCTGTCCCTTGGACTTTCATGCCATCCAGGTACATCTTCCTCTACGCCTCTTTTCACTGTCATCCACGGAACTCCCCGCCACTCTCCATCATTCACTAAAGACTCGGGCACCTGGATCACAGCTGTTGCTTCCTTGACATTAGTGGCCATGTGAACAAGCTCAGCCAACCTCCTCAGTTCCAACAATCTGCTTCTCCAGTCCACTTCAGCTCTCACTCTCTCATGGTCACACCCTGGGTCTTGCCATCATATGCAACTGTCCTCTGAAATGTGAAATTTGCCCCTCTATAAAATGGCTTCTGCAATGAGAACTTCATTCACAATGTTTTTACCATGGTCACCAATGCCTTTTGCTATGGAAATCCAATGGATACCTCTCATTTCTTCTCTTTGTAGCATTTGGCACCATGTTTTTCTTCCTGAAGCTCTCTCCCCTTGGTATCACAATCCCTTAATTTTTCTCCTATCATTCTGGCTGCTCTTTTCATAGGTTCTACCTCCTCTACTGATCTCTAATATATTGATATTCCTTAGGGCTCCATCCTTGACCATCTTATCTTATCACCCTACACAGTCTCCCTTAGCCATGTAATTCACTGACTGCCTCAATTAACAACTGTATTCAGATGATTTCAAAATCTTTATCTCCAACTCACATCTCTGTCCTAACTTTTAGATCCATAGAGTCTGAAGATCACTTGGACATCCCATAATCACCTCAAACTCAGCACATCCAAAACTTAACTCACTATGTCCCTCTAAAATCCATTTTCCACTCTGTTTCTCTATCTCAGTGAATAGCACCATCATCCATCTAAATACTCAAAGCTAGAAAAATTATTGCTGATTCTTCCATCTCCCGTCAATCCTGGCTAAGTAACTGATCGAATATATGTCCACTTTCCTCCACCAACATCTCACATCTGCACCATTGTTGTCCTGATTAGCCTCACTGTCAATGCTGGAATCCTAATAGACACCAACATTTAGAGAATGACTAGAGGAAATGGGAGTATGGGGTGGGAGTAGGAAAAAGCAGGGACAGAGTGGCGACAGGAGACTATAACATTAAAAAAAAAAAGTCTTGCCCTCCTTCCAATCTAGTCACATAGTGTCCTCAGAGCGAGCTTTACAAAAACAAAATCTGAATTTACCACCTCCTTGTTTAAAACCATTTAATGGCTCCTCACATGGAACAGCACGACATAGCTGGGCCCTTCATTCTCTGGCTCCTACTTACTTCTCAAGTCTCGTCTCTAACCATCCCCAACTCTGTTAATTCTAAACCTCAGCCTTACTGAATTATCTTCAGTTCTTGGAATATACCACGCCCTCTGGCATCTGAGTATTTTCACTGCTGCCTCTACTACGGGGAACTCATCTCTAGTCCCACCTGCTTTGATTGGATAACTTCTTCCTCTGTGCTTCCATACACTCCTAGGAAACCCCTCTACTTATTAGTGTATCCCTCACAGACCCACAAAGTCCTTGCTGTCACGTATGATTTTCAGTTGTATAAGACACAACTGTATTGTGACACTCTCGACCATGCCCTCCTTGAAATTGTCTCTTCCCTCGACTTCCATTAAAATGTACTTTACTGGACCCTTTGCATTCCTAAAAGCTGCTTCCCTTTGGTCCCTCTTTCCTGTTCCTCTTCTCCTCCCCTAAAGGCAAAAGTTCTATCACCAGTCCTTCTCTCTTTGTGTATTTGCTCTTTTGGTTACCAACTCTCTTGTCTTTAACTACAAACTCCACGTGCCGATTACCCACAAATCTGCACCTCCAGCTTATGTCGCCCTTCTGAGCACCAATCTCCTCTTCCATTGCTGCTGCTCATTTCCCTTCAGATGTCCCACCTCAACTCGGAGCTCATCACGTCCAAAACAGGACTCCTCCTCTTTCTCTCCAAGTCAACTTTGTCTCCTGTTTCTGTTAACAGAGCTGTAATTCTCCTGGCCAACCAAATTCAAAACCAGTCATGTTTGGCCCCATCCTTGCCCTCTTCATGCCCAGTTAGTCAACGTGTCCTGGCTAAACCCATCTTTGTTTCCATTTTTCACATTCTTTTCCATTCCTACCTTCACTACCATAATTGAAGCCTTTATTCTTACCTAGATCCTTGCTCCTCAAAGTTTGGTGCTCGACCAGCAGCACCTGTATCACCTGGGAGCATGGTAGAAGCAGAAGCTCAGGCCTCGCCCTAGACTTACTGAGTCAGATCCCTGGGTCATTCGTCTGCTCATTGAAGTTTGAGAAGCACTGGGCTAGACCGCATCAACGAACTCCTACCTGGAATCCCTGACTCCAATCTCCTCTCTTAATCCATCCCACAGACCACAGTTACTAAGTTTCCTTCTGATCACATCATTCTCTCTCAACTCAAACTCCTTTAATGACTCTACTGTCTAAGGAATAAAGTCCACATCTTAGAAAGTAAGGCTCTCAGCCACCTATCAATCTATTTCCCTGGACTTACGTACCCTATTTCAATAATATACTCTATATCTTGGGCCAACAGGACCAGAGATGCGGTACAGCATTAGTGGAAAAGAATATTAACCAAGAATCCCTCTTACAATTGCAAAAGCTAGGTCTTTAACCTCAGGTAAAGTATTTGTTCTCTCAAATCTTGGATTTCAATTCCGCAAAATAAGGAAGTTGGACCAGCCTAGTGTTTTTAAGTCTTTTTTTAACTGCAACCCACAGTAAGAAATATATATGTATCCAGTATTCACATCCATACAGAGATGTAAGTGCAGTTTCAACTGGAACAAAAGTTGCACCAAATAAGGCTTACTAAGTGTAATGTGCTCTAATATTTTCTATTCTCTTCTCATCCATTCCATTTCATTTTTTAAAATGCTGGTTGCTAATCACCAAATTGATTTCATAACCCACTAATGAGTCAGAACCTGAACACTGACACCACAGTGGTCCCTCTAACCCAACAGCACATGACTCTGGGATCCTCTTCCTTGAGCGCATCCTCTACTTCCCTGCTCTGTGCCTTTGCTGAAAACATTGCTTCTTTCTGTAACCTCTTCCTCTATTCCAGCGCCTTGAAATGCAATGCATCTTTTAAGGTCTGGCTTAATGAAACCTCTTAAAATGAGATGATATCTTTTACTTTTTTGCACATTTACAATACTAGGTCTTACTTCTTACTTGGCATGATTCACAAACACTCTTTGATAATGTTGGTGTATATTTCTTATCTCTTGTTTTTGTTTCTTGAGGGCAGGAATCATGTATTCTCTGCCTTTTTATCTTTCTAAGCATTTAGCACAGTGTCTGGTATGTAAGTCACTCAAGCCTGAAAATCTTTTATCTTTCTCCAACCATTCTATTTCATCAACACCTCCAGTTCCTTGACTCTTCTGCTCTCTCCCTACCTATCAGCAACCTGCTTATCTTTACCTCTTTCCCTCGGATTAGACTCAATTTAGAAACTGCTGACCATCACCTTAACCTATCTATTGACAATCTCCTCAATTCTCTTGCCCAACTGTCTTTTCTTCTCACATGTCTGGCAAAACTCCAACTCTGAATCAATTCAACTGTCTACTTTCTCTGCTCCTCTATTCAAATTGCTAAGCACTGCCGTTAAAAAAAATCCCATGCTCATGCAGATAATTCAATGGTTTCATCCTCACCAGGGTGTTAACACACTACTAGACATTCCTTCTCGGTTTCCTAGTTAGTTCTCTATCCCATTCTCCAACACCTATTTTAAAATGTTTTCACTCTCCTCAACCCCCTGTCCTCAAACATTTTCCCCCTTGCCTCCAAAGGTGGATTAGGCTCCCTTACTGATTTCTCATAGTATTCTTAATTAACATGGCCATAGCCCTTGTCACTTTGCTTTCCGCTGTCTATTTAAGTCCGTATATCTTACCAGGCTTTAAGCTCACTGAAAAGAAGACACACAACTTATCATTATTGAAACCTCAGAATTTAATATAGTACGAGGTACTCAATAAATATTTTTTGAATGAATGAATAAATGAATACATAAATATTAGTTAAATGAATGAATACATCATATACAAATCTCATATGGTTATGTTTAGGGCCAATTAATTAACGCCAATAAAAGCTTAGGGAATGAAAAGTATGAAATACAAATGATTTCTAAAATTTATAACAGATGTAGAATTACAGCTGGTTAAAAGTTTATTATTACTTCTATTCCAGTTACTGGCAAAATGGAAGTCAGTCCCAGATATAATAGGATCCAATAGAGCAGGCAAAAGGGTGAGTGATTAAGATCCAACAGAGGTACTTCATTTGCTAATTCTAGTGGGGAAATATAAGTACAACACAGACATGATCACAGACCACAGTCCTCTGCCATGAAGACGGCATTTATTTTATGATGGCCTAGCTTCACTTCTTTCCTTTTACTGCAATTTGTTTTAATTGGTGTATATTTCTAAAGACATTTGCATGATGGCAATGACTGACAAGGCCCGGCTGCCCAGAAAACAGCTAGACATTGCTCCATATCTGAGAGGTAACTCTCTTTTTTTTTTTTACTTTTCTCTGGAATATCAACGATATTCATCTTCTTATTTAGTGTCATGGGACTTTGCTTTGCGATGAGAGTCTGTTTCGAAACTCTCCTGTGGTGGGTGAGCCAGAGGAGAGTCGTGCCCCTCAAAGTACTCACCCTGACATTGTGAGGATGAAGGCCTCCCGGGTGCTGAGACATATACTGGGCCAGGTCTGTGTGCTACAAAGATGGTGGAGAGAGGGGTGTTAGTGGTGCTTGGACTATGTCCTAAAGCAGACCATAGGCTTGACTGTCAGAGTGTGACAATGTTCAGAATCTTTGAGAACAAGGAGCATAAGGTACATAACCAGGTTTTCTGAGATTCTACTGTTAAAGCCAAACACAGCATGCCTTTCCAACTGGCTGCTCCGAGAAGGAGGCCTGTTTCTTGGCACAAAGAGATGCTCATTTTAAACGACTGGCACTGAACACAGCAACGTGGGGATTTTCCACTCTCCACGTGTCGTTGAGGGAAGCTAAGTGCACACACATTATGATTTCCTTCTGCTTATTTGAATATTTTTTCCTTTCAAAAATACAAAGTGAGTTATTCTTTAGTAAACTTGCATATAATTTTTTAAAACCTTGTGATTTATGTCTTTATTGTCAATGAAAAAATGTTGGGTTCTGCTCAGATCGTGATTAAAAATAGATAAAAAATAAGTGCAAAAGTTTTATTTAGGAGGCAAACTCAAAGTGCTTATTTATTACTGTTGGTGAGGGAAAAAAGACAGCAAATATAGTGGGTGGAGAAGTAGGACCAAAGAATCAGACTGAGAACAACAGCCTCCATGAATCACAGTAATGAAAATTTCCATGACACTTTCCACATGGTAATGAAAGTTTTATCATGCCATAAAATATTAACAGATTCATTATACGAGCGCCAGGCTTTCCCCTCATGCTTTGTAAAGTGCTGCGGCAACTCACCATGTATTCAAAAACGAACGTCAGTGTCTCTTTGGTGTGGATTATGTCATGCAGGAGCACAATATTGGCATGTTTCAAACCCTTCAGCAGAGAAGCTAGAAAAATTAAACAAAGATGTTAATTCAATCATTGATAATGAAAGTACTGCTTTAAAAGACACCAAGCAGCATTTATTTTTTAAGCATTTCACATCAAGCATTCTGGTTTTTTACAGCTGGAAAAAGTCCCTTGTTGTGAAATAATATTTAAAATCACAAAGGACCTTCATTACTTGTTAAATGGCAAGTCATTGCATTTACATAACTTATTTTTCTTACAGGCTGGAGCCCTTGCAAAAAATATGTTTCCATTTACCCAATCAATTTCATCAAAGCACTCAGAGCACTTTGCAAATGCTTTCCTCTGGGAATCTTATCATCTCTGCTTCAGAGCTACAGGAGAGGAAGCCTGGAGAGAGGCCATTGGGGGAGCAGGAAATGGAGTGTTCTTTCTAGAGAGGACTTTGCAACATATGACCATTCTCTAAAATTTAAAATCCCACAGGGGGTCAAGAAGGCCCACAGATGTGCTTGGTGGAGGGCAGGGATAAGAGCATGGGATGAAGGATTGTTGAAACATAATAGAGAGTGGAGGGGATTTCTTAAAGGGAGAATTGCAAACCTCTGTGGACAGGAGAAAATGCAAACTTGAAAAGAGGAGAGGGCCAAACTTAGGGAGCCCAGGGCAGTGGGGAGATAGAGGACTCTCTCGCATCGTCAATAACAGGTTATTATGAGGTCACTAAAGGCAGCCTTAAAGGGGAGAAGTCACCACAAAAGGCCAGTGAGTGAATGGGAGAGGGTTTGAAAAGCTGTCTCTGGGGGCTCCAGAGATAGGAAGACCCCCAGCTTCAGGAGAGTGGAGACCAGAAAAGGCTCAATAAGGAGATGATAAGTCTCAGCTCAGGGCATCCCTACATGAAGAAACAGTGTCCTTAAGACTTAAAGGAAAGGACACGTTAAGCATAAAAAACCCTAATCAGTGTTCTGCAGGGTATGTCTTCATATCATGAATCCCCTGCACCAACTCTCGCCCAGGATTCCATAAGATTAAAAACAAACTCAAATACTCCCTACAAATTTTGGAACACAATTGCTTGCTTCAGGAATCTTATCCTGTTGTACTGATCCTCTGTTGTTTTGCCCCCCTGGCAGCCATTCTCCCTTCTAGTGGGGACACCTCCATTTTCCTCCGGGGAACCAACCCTCTCCCTACTCAGCTCATGCTATTCTGGTGGGGCTGACCCCACCCCTGCCCAAGAGTGGGCATCTGACCCAGGCCTGGCCAATCAGAGCACAGCACCCCCAGCCACAGTGTGTGGTTCAGACACAGGCACAAAACCCAAGCCTGGGAGAGCCCTACTTTGCTGGTGCCATGAAGTGCTTTCTTTTCCACTCCGAGGGCTGAGCTTGTAGGATTTAGCCAGGAGCTGCTCTGGCCAGATTACCACCACCTGGCGAGAGCATGCCTGGGAGTAAATCTAAGGCAGAGAAAAACAGTGCTGGGAGATGGAGAGACATGGATTCCTGGTGATATCGTCCACATCCCGCAAGCCCATAGTTATCAGATCTGTGAATTTCCTTCTTCGCTTAAGTCAGTTTCAGCTGAGAACCTCTTACCACCAAAGGCTCCCTACTCACCTGTTAACCCTCCTTTGCTCTAATGACTAATGCTCTTTTACTGTTTGCCCCTCTAATCCCTATGAGCTAAATTTATTATTTCACTTTTACAAGTACTTTGCTTTGTAAATATAGTAAACAGTCTCACAGGCATCTGTTAATGTCCCTAGTCCCAGACTGAAGACTACATGGGAACCGAGGGAGTGACTTCCCTCTCTTTTGGATGCTGACACAGCACCTAGTACAACGCTCAGCCAAGAGCAAGCACTTAATTTATCAAATATATTTATGAAGTGTTCTAACGAAAAACTGTGGAGTCAGAAACTCTAATGTGAATCCTGGCCCTGTCACTTTCTATCTGAGTGAGGTCGGGAGAGAATCTCAACCCAAGTCTCAATTCACTCCTTATGAAAAAGAGAGAATGCCTTTCCTGACTTGACTTCACAGATTGACAGAAGGATGGAACGAGATCCCATGTGCGGAACCCTTGGTAACTGTAAAGCATCACACAGGTGCAAATTAGAATTAATATCCCAGCCATCAGCTTCTTGCCCCTCCTTTTCGCCGTGAACCCCACTGAACCCCTACTTCCAGATTAACATCTTAAAATCTTGGTTATGTCATGTCTCTGCTAGAGTTTTTAACACCTTCCATAATCACAATGACTTCTAACATTAGTTGAGAATGCTTGTATTTTATGTATATTTTTATTTATAAATTATGTTCATGAATTTTTGTTTCTCTCTCTCTCTACACACACATACACACACACATTACAAAAGATATACCAAAATTAGGTTTTAAAAGGATATGGTAAAGCCAAAATTGCTAAGAATATTGATATTTTAATTTTATTTTTAATACAATTTTAGTCTCGCTTAAATATAATATTACTAAAACTCTTGACGCTTATTTTTAAAATCATGATGGCATATTTTGTTAATCACTATGGCTTCACACTATCATTTGCTGGAAAACTCAAGGAACAATATCTACTTAGGGTGGGGCTCACTGCTGACAACAGTGGGTATACATCTTTATTTAGCATAGTTTTCTTGATAATTTCTGTCTCATAGGAGTAGGAAAAGTGTCTGTTTTGCCATTTCTGTGCTGTTCACTTACATTTGCATTAATAGTCTTATATTTGATCCACAATTTCTTTGCAGAAATCATCTGAAACCATCAATCCATTTGATGAGGATTCACCACTCTAGTAAATGGCAACTTCTCTCAGCTCTTCTTCTCCCACTCTCATCCAATCCATCAGCAAATCTGTTGGCAATACCTTCAAAACACGTCCAGAATCCCTTTTTGCCATGTCCTCTGCTACCATCCTGAGCCAAGCTACCATCACATCTCGTCTGAATTATTTTAGATGTCTCCTAACTAGTCTCCCTGCTTCCTCCCTTCCTTCCTACGGTCTCTTCCCCACAAAACACCAGCCACTGTGATCCTTCTCAAATAGAAGTCAGGGCATGTCGCTCCTGGTTCCAGACCCTCCAGTGGTGTCTCATCTCACTCAGAGTAAGATGGAAAGGACTTACAATGGCCTGCCCAGCCTCATGACCTCCCCACCCTCATCTCCTCACACTCCCATCCTTGCTCACTTGGGCCTAGTCACACTGGCCTCCTACCTGCTCGTTGGACCCTTCCAGACACATTTCCATCCTGGTCTTACACCTGCTGCTGTCTCTGCTTGTAACCCTCCTGTCTCCGCTCTCTGCTTGCTTCCTCCCTTGCTTCCTTCAGGTCCCTGCCCAAATGATATATATAAAGTCTGGGCTACCCTGACCCCTCTTGATAAAATAGCAATCCCCTACCCCGACCCACGAGAGTGGGTCTCCAGTGACCCTCCATCCCGTACCCTGCTGTACTCTTCTCCATATTTCTATCACCCCTGACATGCTATCTGTCTGATTCTTGTCTGTCTCCACCTTTAAAAATATAAACTCCACGGAGAGCAGGCACTGTTGTCTTTTTTGCTTATTGCTGTACCCTCAGTGCCTAGAACAATGCCTGGGATATTATGAGCACTCAGTAAATATTTACTATTGAATTAGTGGTCACTACCTAACATTTCTGTACTATTATTGGTTGGCATTAGGTATTTCTGTTGAAGATGCTTTTATTCCCTATGTCTTGGAGTTGCTTTATAAACGCTGTGTGTTATAGCCACGTCTACTACTGCTTTTTTAACACCCCAGAACCACTGAAATACTTATATAGAAACTGTGACATTTGATGAGCAATAATAGGGAATTTACATGAAAGAGCAGATGATGTTTAAAGCATTTCTCTCACGGTATTAGTATATGGCTTGATCCTTCCACCAGAGGGATCTAAAATGCCTACAGCCTCAGATATGTGGGTCTTAAACCCAGGAAGGAAAGGTCTTCTTTCTTATTTCAGGGCCAGCTCATACACTTCACAGCAGGATGTGGTGTGTTCCGCAGGCTAATCAGCTGAGGGAGGCAAAAGCCAACTGAGAAGGGGAAAGAGCCTAAAATCAGAGCATTCTGATTCCTGTAAAATTATTGTTTTTATAATTCACATATTCTAAGTATACTTATTTTTGTTTTTCCTCAAGGAAAAGATGCAAAGATAAATTTGGGAGTCTTTAAAGCTCCAGACAAATGGAATCACAATGGAAGTACTTTAAGTGCTTCTAAAATACTTTTATAATGATGATGATGTTGATGATGATAATAATAGCTAACACTCATTGAGCATTTCCCACATGCCAGGTGATGTTGTAAGAATTTTACATGTGATAACTTGGTATGATCGTGAGAACACTCAGAAAGCCAAAGAGAAAACCTGAAGAAAACAACATAATCTCAAATCAGGAAAAATGACCCATGACAAAACGTTATTCAGCACATTTTAAAAAATGCGAAGTAGTTCTTTCTTTATTTTAAATGTCCAAAAAAGGTGCTTACTAGGACCAACTAAATACCAATGGGATTCCAACCAATGGAATTTAATCTGATTCTCATATGTGTAAGAGATTTAATAATTTAGAAAAAAATATTTTCATCTTGCAATAATATGAGAATATCTAATTTCTTGGTTTTATTAATTTCATTGGAGTTTGTGGTTTTGTGAATTTTGAGGAAAATTGATGCTTTGCAAGTGCAATGGGTCACGATGTTTTGATATTGCTCTGCTCTGTTCTGCTTTAGTTTAGAAGAAAATGTAAGGATGGCAACGACAAGGAAGAACAAGGCTGATTTTCAGAGTCCTGGGGCAAGACCATATATAGAGAGAGTGTCTGGTGGTCAAAGCCCTCTCTAGGCTGTGGGTGGCCCCTGTCCTTGTCTTTGCATCTCGAGCACCTGGCACAGGCCTGGCATGTGGTGCTCAATAAGTGCTTGTGAATTAATGAAGACCAGACAGTTGTAATGAGTTTAGGCAGGAGTCACTAATGGAGTCAATTCCCACACCCACCGCACATGAGGCATTGGATTAAAAAGAGTTTGTAGTTCCTGATGTTATATTTTCTCCAGCCTGGGTGTCACAAATCAAGTCAATGAGTTGAGTTATGCATTCCAAGAAAAGAAATCGTCTATATAAATGTAGATAAATATTAAGACACATGTTAGATAATAGTTATCATCTGATTTCTTTGGAATTGTAATCCCGATCACATACCATCATCCTAGCACTATTTTGTTTGATACAAATGTAACTATGCACGTGTAAACGCATAATGTCCCTGCCGTGCTTTGATTGCATTCACCGGAGGGTTTCTTGTCTAACCAGACCTGCCGTAATCTCTGTATGGTGACCATTGACTCAGCAGTTCTAGCTGGCATCCTCCACCTCATTGTATGACCTTGGGGAGGTGTCTTAGTTTATTTTTGGCTCCCCTTTCTACTATTTGGACTGGGAATAATTACTTTGTAATGTTTTCTGCTAGAGAATGATCTTAAAATATCTTCAACTGAAACTGTTTCTAATTTAAACACTGCAATTACTGGAAGTCAATGATAGAATCAGAACCGACAAATATACAATATTATATATTATTTTCTTTAAAATATTTCTTCTGCATTTTGCTTAACATTTATACAAAATGTATCATAAAAATAGATTTCTGCTTTTATTTTTACTGTTGCTAAAAGAGAAATGCTTGAGTTAAGGATTTCTAAATTTATCTACTTTATAGTAATATAGAAAGGATTTTGAATAGAATAGAATAGATTCTAATACCTAACAACTCTGATTACTAGCTCTGTGACCTCAGACAAGTTACCTAACCTCTCTGAGGCTTAGATTCCTACATTGCTACAACAAAAATAACATACTTTACCAACTAGAGTTGATGTAAGGGTTTAAAAAACAGATTATTGGGAGGAGAGATTATGTCATATGCCTAGTCCTCAAAAAAGATTGGTTATATGGCTGCTTCCTAAACAAATGCTGTTAACAGGCTGAAAGTCCTGGAAGTCCTTTTTAAACCCAAAGTTTCTATTTTTATAGAAGATATTTAAAATAATGCACATTATCAAGATATTGATATATAGTTTAATAAAACTAGGGAACGTGTTCTTTTATAAAAACTTAAAATATTAGCCTATTCAAATGAAAGTGTTTTCTCCTACTTGTAAAAATAAACATTTAAAATATAATTCTAGAACCAGTTATGAAAGATTTTCTAAGCTGCTATGAAGGTGGTTAATCTTTATAATTAGCAAGGAATGAGGGTAGAGAACTTGTCTGTTGTGTGCACTGCTGTGTATCCAGCAGCCAGCAGAGCGCCTGTCCATAGTGGGAGCTCAATAAATACCTGTAGAGGGAATGAATAGAGTGTATGGATTGTTGAATTAGAGAGATTTGGTTTGTATCATGGCTATATTGGAATAATAATAATATCTATCTGTAAAGGTTGTTAAGAGGATTGAAGGAGGTAACACATGAAAAGAATCTGGCGCGTGTTTCAAGAGATGTTTCTCTCAGTGCTGTTCATACTTTTGCTAATTTCATAATATTTCATGTTAAGATCACACAGTGTTCCAAATGACCAGATTAATAAACTGCCACATGTATTCTACCTATAAATAGAAAGACTGTACATGTAGTAAAATCCTACTCAATAAATCTTTGGCTGATATGCCATCACAGCAGCCAAACTGTTCAGGAAAAGTAATTCCTGTTTCAAGGCTTTTTAAAGAAGTCTGCATTACTCGTTCAGTTTTTCTGCACGTGGCTTTCGGTTGCCTTTTTAGCTAGTGACCCTGGATTTTAACTAATGAACTCCAGCTGTTCTTATTTTGTCTTCCAGCCCTTCTCATTTAACCTCCTGTCTCCCTGGTCTCACATCCTTAAAGTTCTTACAGGAAAAATGGGACAGTGCCAAAGTTTTCAAACGAGGCCTCATATCTTCTTGAGGGAGAGGGCTCCTCTAACAAGCTTTCACACTGGTGGAAAAGAAACGTTCGTTGTTGGAAATTGGATGCCTAACAACCTCCAATGTGTCAAAAATCCTTTTGTGGTTTTTAATATTATACAAGCAAAGCATTCAGTAAGGTAAGTCCATAAAACAAACCAAGAAAGTCCACAGATGAATACTAAATATAATTGCAAACACCTGTGATGGAAAGGCAATTCTTCAGCAAACATGCGATAAGAGGAACGTTTAGCCTGCAGAACAGTACAGGTCCAGCTTTTCTGAACCATCTGCTAGCAAACCCAGCAAAAGGTTTCAATGTTTAAGTCAAATGCCAACCTGAAAAACGTGGCTGTGGGCAAAATCAGAGCGAGCAAGCCTGACAAAGGCTTAAGATAAGCCATAAGAATGGGGTGAACATGGGCCTAGAGACCCTCCCCAAATGTTGGTGACCTGGGATTTCCATTATGTTCAGAAATACTCTTTAACTCATCTACACATCTCTTTCTAAAGCTGATCATCCTTTCATGGCGACCACTAATAAGTACATCAGTAAATGCAGCTTCCATTATATTAAACACTTAAAACCATGCTTTCCTCCAGAAGGCACCTGATCCGACCAGGATAACCCAATTGCCGTTTGGCCCTTCTACTCAAATTCAAAATGATGTATTTCCCAGGGGCTCTGAAAGACTTTTGAAAATGGCATCAAATTCAGTTATAAACTCATTTTCTGAATTGCTTTTTCCATGCCTGTTTGCGTAACCTGTCCTTCCAAGCTCAGTCCCAAATGTGCCGACTTCATCAGCCACACTGAGACTAGCGGGTTCTCATCTGAGTTGACGTCTTTTTTATCTCCATTATAACATTTGTTGTAACTTGAATCATCTGCTCTCTTAAGACTGAAAACGATATAGAGCAAAGATTAGGGCTTTTCCTTCTCATCCTTCACAACACCCAGCAATCTGCTTTGCGCATAGTATGTGCTCCATAAAGAAGGGAAGATGAAGAAGTTAAAAGGGGAGAAATTAAAGCCAGGGAAGAGCCATTTCTCTGGGTTTTTGCTGGAATGGTTAGCAGTCCTACCAACATTTTATTTCAAATGGCTCATGTAAAAAGGTTAATAAATTGCATTTTTAATGATTTATTTTCACTATAGTGGCTTTTTGACTTTTATATTATAAATTATTAGTTATCTTGATGGTGAACAAGACATCACTAGGGAAAAGAACAAGAATGGAATAATAGTAGCCAACATTTGTTGAACTCTGAAAATGGACTCTGTGATAAGTGCTTTATATGCATATTCTCATTTAATCCTCATAACAACTCAATGAAATAGGCATAATTATCCTCTTTCTGCAATAAACCGAGGCTTAACTAGGTATAGTCACCTACCTGTGGTCACACCACTAGTAATTGGTACATCTAAGATTCAAACCCAAGTCCATCTGACACTAGGTTCCTTACCCACTTGCTATACTGCCCAGGGTACAGAGAAAACAGGGCAACACTAAAAATGCATGCCTTGCCAAAGAGTTTTTCAAATGCCATCTAAACGACTTATTTTCAGGCAATTTGCTTACTGACAATTTGTGTGATTATATATATATTTTCTTTTTTTATATGGATTTTTCTGGGGTTATATAGATATAGCCTTAGCGTTAGTATGGGACCACACACACAGAAGGTATTGAGTTCATACTCAGTACTCATTGAGTTCATAGTCTTAGTCAACTAATATAATAGTATTGAATCTTAATTTCCTCAGGAATAAATAATAAAATCATAGTGTAAATGTACTTGGAAAACTAGTATGAAGAATAAAATTGCAGTTATAATATTACTTCTAAAAATATCAAAAGCTAGACACCAAATTGCTAGACTCAATGCATTTTTTACCAAATCAAGGACTTAAAACAGATCTCTCGGATCCATTTGACTGTTCTTACCTTCCCGGATGGCTGTAAATGGGACTCCTTCCTCTGCATTCATGCTGATGACTTTCAAAGCCACTAGCTGTCCGTTTATTCTAGGAGAGTCAGGGGAGAGGGCACATATTTATCAAGAAGGTTCAGAGCAGCAGTTTACACTAAGGATAGTTTAACAAAAGTAGCTTTCCTTCAAAATATATTCCAGCATATGAATCTACAATTTTCTCAAAATAAAAAGTTTTAGGGCCGCCCCATGGCTTAGCGGTGAAGTGTGTGCGCTCCGCTGCTGGCGGCCCGGGTTCGGATCCCGGGCACACACCAACGCACTGCTTCTCCCGCCACGCTGAGGCCGCATCCCACATACAGCAACTAGAAGGATGTGCAGCTATGACATACAACTATCTATGGGGACTTAGGGGGGAAAAAATAAATAAATAAAATTATGAAAATAAAAAGTTTTAAAAGTCATATGTATATTTACCAAGACATTTTTTCTCTTTACCAAAGTGATATATGTTCATTGTAGAAAATTTGGAGAACACAGAAAAGCACAGGAAAAAAACGCAACAAATCCATCCTCATAATATTTGGATGTATATCGTTCCTTTTTTTCCTCTTTGTGCACTTATGTAAGCATCTTTATTTTTCATCTGAATTGTGGTGACCTCCTAACAGGCTCTCTGCTGGTACACTTGTACCCCCACTATCCGCACTCAACAGAGTAGCGTGGGGCATCCTTTTTAAGTGAAAGTCAAAATAAGTCACTTCTCTGCTCAAAACCTACCACTATCTCCACATTTCACTTTGAATAAAAGCCAAATTCTTACAATCGCCTCCGAGGTGTTGCCTATCTGCCTGGTCCCACCATTCTCTCTCTTTCTTCATCTCCTCCTACTCTCCCCTGATACATTGTTTTGTCTGCTGATGTAAGCTAAGTGCCAGAGAACAGAGAAGATTTTAATGCAAGTATAAATATACTGTTTTTAATATAGTGGGATTCATGTCATATTATTAGCAACCCGTTTTTCCTCAACTTAACTTTTTCTCTTGTTCATTCTTGTATTATGTGATGTTTGAAAATGACATAATATGTCATCATATAAATATACAACAATGTGTTTAGCCAATTTCAAATGCTTTTAAATTGTTTCTAACTTTTGACTAGTATAAAAATACAGTGACAGGGCTGGCCCCGTGGCTTAGCGGTTGGGTGCGTGCGCTCTGCTGCTGGCGGCCCGGGTTCGGATCCCGGGCGCGCACCGACGCACCGCTTCTCCGGCCATGCTGGGGCCGCGTCCCACATACAGCAGCTGGAAGGATGTGCAGCTATGACATACAACTATCTACTGGGGCTTTGGAGGGAAAAAAATAAATACATAAAATCTTTAAAAAAAAAAAATACAGTGACAATCATATTTGTAGATCAGTCTTTTCATACAGTTCCTACTATTTTCTTAGGGTAGAGGTGGAATTGCTAAATCAAAGAGTATGCTGTGCACAAGTTTCTATTCTTTTGAACACAGGTTCCCAAACTGATCACACCACTAACTGGTTATGAGAGTGGCCATGCCAGCACTCTGTCCCCAACGCTAGGCAGGGTTGTCTTTTTTTAAGATTTTATTTTTCAGAACAGTTTTAGATTTACAGAAAAATTGAGAGGATAGTAGAGAGGGCTTCCGTGTAACTCACATCCAGTTTCTTCTATTGTTAACATCTTATACTAATTAGTGTGGTACATTTGTTAGGAATTCTTCAGTGGTTTGTGGGTTTTTTTGCAGTAAAATTGTATTATTTATTGTGGGTTGCATCATAAATTGGTAAAATTTGGGAGGAATGCAATGTGATAATACATAGGAAAAGTCATAAAGTACCATGCCCAGGAATTTTTTTCCAATAAACTTATTTAATAAAGATTTTTAAAATTCCAAATGCGTGAAAGATATCCCCTACTGTGTTAGTTATAATAGAAAATAAAATAAAAATATCTGAAATGTCCAACATTAGAGGAACAGTTTAAAAATTTGCAGTACATCAATACAATGGAATATTTTGCATTCATAACAAAAGCTTAATTCCAGAGACATATAGAAAGAAACATGCAAAAAATTCATGATGAAATGAATAATAGAATACAAGATAGCAAGCACACCTTGTTTGTAACTTTATATAGAATGTGTGCTTGTGTAAGACAAAATGCACATGGCAATTGCTGTGCTAAAGCAATGGATTGTAGATGATTTTTAAATTTTAAAAATTCATTTGCTGTTATATATTGCCTTTTTTTTCACAGCACTTATAAGTTTATTATGGCTTTCCAATTTTATTTCCAAATGCTTTCTTACATAACCATTTTTTTCTTTTTATCCTTTTACAGTAGATATCACAGTAGATATGTGTAAATTTATCTTAGCCTTTTTGTAAATTGAGATATAATTGACATATAACATTGTGTAAGTTAAAGGTGTTCAGTGTGTTGATTTGATACATTTATGTATTGCAATATGATTACCGAGGTTTCTTTAGTTTTTACCTAATGTCCTTTTTCTGTTCCAGGATCCCATCCAGGTATCACATTACAGATAGTTGTCTTCTCTCTTTAGGCTCCTCTTGACTGTGACAGTTTTCTGAACTTTCCTTGTTTTCTGTTTTTTGTTTTTTTTGTGAGGCAGATCAGCCCTGAGCTACCATCCATGCCAATCCTCCTCTTTTTGCTGAGGAAGACTGGCCCTGAGCTAACATCCGTGCCCACCTTCCTCCACTTTATATGGGACGCCCCCACAGCATGGCCTGACAAGCGGCGCATCGTGCATGCTGGGGATCCGGGCCTGCGAACCCCGGGCCCCTGAAGCAGAGCGCGTGCGCTTAACCGCTGCGCCACCGGGCCGGCCCCCATAGATATTTATTTTATACTTTGAGTTATAAGCCAATACTAATTTATTTATTTTGTTGCTCAAATTTTTCCAGCTTTGTTTTGGGAGTTTTTTCAGTTGGTTCCTGCATCCCTTTGACATACCCCCACAAATGTGGGGTTTGCTGTTTTGTGGAACATTCATTGTTTTGTTTTGTTTTTTTGGTGAGGAAGGTTAGCCCTGAGCTAACATCTGTTGCCAATCCTCCTCTTTTTGCTGAGGAAGATTGGCCCTGAGCCAACATCCGTGCCCATCTTTTTCTACTTTACATGTGGGACACCTGCCACAGCATGGCTGGATAAGCAGTGCGCATGTCCACGCCTGGGATTGGAACCCGCAAACCCCAGGCTGCCGAAGCAGAGCGTGCAAACCCAACTGCTATGCCACCAGGCCAGCCCCATGGAGCATGCTTTTATCTTCATTTTTTGGCATATTTAATAGGTAAAAAGGATTATCACATTTTAATTTCTATTTCTTTAACTACTTTTCTGAAAAGAACTGAATTTTCATAAGTTTATTGGTCTTTTCTGTTCTTTCGTGATTTGCCTATTTTTATTGAAATATTCTTCATATACTTTTACCAATTTCTTTTGTTTGCCTTATCATCTTTGAAATTTAAAAATTTTATGGTTTCAGTATTTTCCGAAATGTTTTACTCAGAGCATAGCTCTGTGAAATTCTCCCCACCCTCCCAAAAAAGTTTTTTGGTAAATATGTTTAGAAAACTCTTTATACTTTTTTTTTTTTTTTTGGTGAGGAAGATTGGCCCTGAGCTAACGCCTGTTGCCAATCTTCGTGTTTTTCGCTTGAGGAAGATTAGCCCTGAGCTAACATCTGTGCCCATCTTCCTCTATTTTGTATGTGGGTTGCTGCCACAGCATGGCTTGATGAGTGGTGTGTAGGACTGCACCCAAGGTCCGAACCCAAGAACCCAGGCTGCTGAAGTGGAGCATGTCGAACTTAACCACTATGCCACCAGGCTGGCCCCTATATTTTTTAAATATTCTTAATCTTTCTTAGACGGTCATGGTATATGTTAACATTTTAAAGATGCTGAGAGCACCTACAATAAAGGGTCACATTTGATTTTGTTCTAGGGTTCCCAGGTCAATCAGACAATGGTAACTGTCTCAATGAAACCTCTATTAAGGTATCTCAGGGGGCAAGCCACACTATGTAGCTGTTAAATGTGCGCGCTCTGCTGCTGGCAGCCCAGGTTCGGATCCCGGGCGCGCACCGATGCACCACTTGTCAGCCCGTGCTGTGGCGGCGTCCCATATAGAGTGGAGGAAGATGGGCACAGATGTTAGCTCAGGGCCAGTCTTCCTCAGCAAAAAGAGGAGGATTGGCATGGATGGTAGCTCAGGGCTGATCTTCCTCACAAAAAAAAGGTATCTCAGAATTGGGGCCTCCTAGGACATACTTGGATAGATGGGGCACATGGACACTTCCAATCTTCCCTTATGGGTTCTGATTTAAGTGTTATGGGGGCTGGCCGGTGGTGCAAGCGGTTAAGTGCATGTGCTCCGCTTCAGCCTGGGGTTCTCAGGTTTGGATCCTGGGCATGCTCCGACGCACTGCTTGTCAAGCCATGCTGTGGCGGGGTCCCATATAAAGTAGAGGAAGATGGGCAGGAATGTTAGCTCAGGGCCAGTCTTCCTCAGCAAAAAAAAAAAAAAAAAAAAGAGGAGGATTGGCATCGGATGTTAGCTCAGTGCTGATCTTCCTCACCAAAAAAAAAAAAAAGTGTTATATATAGACAGACCTTTCCAGCCCAAACGTGACACAGAATTCTCTTACCTACTCTTCTAGTTCTCATATGTTTTCTATTTCATTTAACTTTTTAATGCACTGGGAACTCATACTGCATGCTTACCTTTTCCAAACTGCAAACAATTGTCCCAGCTCCATTTATTGGACTGCCTTCTTTTCCCTACATATTCCACACGCCACCATGATTATGCACTAGATCTTACTAATACTTGGATTCATGACTGTTCTGCACTTTTAAAAATCGTATTTCTTTGACCTGTCTTTTCTTATACTTGTGCTACACTATTTTAATTACGGTAGCTTTTGAACACATTGAGACTACATTAAAACTCTAAATTAGAGAATCGTTGACATCTTTGCACTATTAGATTTTCTAATTCAAATACCCTTACAACTGTCCCTGGGATGACCTATGAGACCCTATTCTACTGCCCGACGGCAACTACAACCCCTCCCTGCTCTCAGCTCCCTCCTCTCTCCCCTCCAATGCCAGCCTGCTCCTGCCTCAGGGACTTGTTACTTGCTGTTCCCTCTGCCTGCAGCTCTCTTCACTGTCCATGCACACAGCTCACGCCTCTCCTCTGCCAGGTCTCTGCTCAAGTGTTCCCTTCTCAGCAAGGCCTGTCTCATCGCCCTTCTTAGAACGGTAACCCACCACCCAGCTCTGGCACTCCGTGTCCCTCTGCCCTGTTTCACTCTTTCCAGACAAACTCAGTGTTTTACTAACATATTTATTGTCTATCTCAGCCCTACTAGAATGTACATTCCACAAGAGCAGAGATTTTTGTCTCTTTTGTTCTCTGTTGAATCTTTATTGGCTAATATGCCTGGCACATCAGTAGGTGCACAATAAATATTAGTAGAATGAATGAATGCCTGGTCGGCTCTTCCTTCAAGTCCCTTATGTCCCTTTGTAAGTCTTTACATAAATCCTGCCCACTTTTTGATGCTGATGATTTTTTGTTGTTGCCATCGTGAGAGTAATTTCCCCTACTATATTTTCTATTAATGGTTATTGCTAATACCTAAGACAACTTTTGATAAGTATACTTTGATTTTGTAACTGATTACCTTATTGTTCTATCTTACTACTTCTAACAGTTCCTTAGATGATTCTTTTGGTTTTTGTAGGTAGACAATTCTATAATCCACAAAAATGATATTGTCTTTTTTTTCTCATTGCGTTGGCTAGAACATTTACAATAATCTTCAACAATAAAGGATAATGGGCATTCTTGCCCCATCTCTTACTTAATAGTGATGTCTCTAGTATTTAACAAAAAAGTATGTGGGCTGTTGATTTGAAATATTCTATATCATAATGAGGAATTATTATTCTATTTCTATTTTGCTCAGAGTTTTAAAAACTAGTAATTGATGTTGAATTTATCAAATGCCTTTTTGGCATCTATCTCTATGATACATTTAAACTTGTTTTTAAATCATAAATGTAATGCCTTCGTGGTAAGGAATAAAGTGAAAAGTTTGATCTTTCTTTCCCCACCCCAGTTTCAACCACTAGAAGTGTCTACTTTTAACGATCTCTTGTGCATTTTTCCAAATTCCTCTATGCACATACAAATTTATACATGTATAGTACATCCGAGTGCTTTTTTCTAAATGAGTTCATAGGGTACATATTGTTCTGTAACCTACTTTTTTCTCTTAAAATATTGCACTTCTTTTCATATTAGTACATCAATCTCATACTTCAGATGGCTGTGTGCTATTTCACTGTACGGTGATTATTTAGACAGTCCTCCATTAATGGATATTTGTGACCAGGTTTTTACTTTTTCTATTACAAATCTTGCTGCAGTGAATGCACTTTTACATGTATCTCTGTGCACTTGGACAAGTATTTCTAATGTATTCTTCATATTATTATAAGGCTGAGTCCCTTGAAGGAAATCTTTTATATTCTCAGTTCCTAAGATAGTCTATGGAAGTGAATTAAAGCCTGTTTCTGCAGAATATATTTAAAATGATATTTCCCCTAAAATCCTGTTTTAACAAAAATATTAACACAAGTACTAAGATAAATAATGACTATGTAGTCTTGTAGTATTTATATTACATTTTTTGTGTGTGTGTGTGTGTGAGGAAGATCAGCCCTCTTTTTGCTGAGGAAGACTGGCCCTGGGCTAACATCCGTGCCCATCTTCCTCCACTTTATATGGGCCGCCATCACAGCATGGCCTGACAAGCAGTGCATCGGTGCGCGCCCGGGATCCGAACCCGGGCTGCCAGCCGCAGAGCACACGCACTCACCCTCTATGCCACAGGGCTGGCCCTACATTAAATTTTTTTTAATTAACATTTAACAACTATTATTTTTATTGGGCCATTATTTTTCTCCATTGGAGTAACATAAATTAAAGAAATCCGACCTTCTGACTTTCCCACCTTAACTAAGAAGCAGTGGAGGTCATGGACCTTTAGTATACGTTTCACAAAGTTTGTTGTTAGCGAAAACGGGTACTTGGCTTCTGGATTAGCAGTATTTTTATTCCCCAGCCATTTTGTGTATTTTGGAAGTAGAAAACCCAGGATTAATCATTTTTTGCGTAAATCATACTTTGTAGAAACCAACTTGAGTTTCTTCCACGAAGGCAAAGTGGAAGGATGAAGGAGCAAGCTCAAGGTTGCCATTGCAAACCTCTGTCACTGTGACTTAGGGAGGGATTTGAAAAACCCTTTAGAGACAACTTACCAACTGCACTTCCCACCAGGCTGAAGAGCAGTAACTGTTCTGTGGGCCAGTCTACTTTCTTTGAATTGAATAAAAAAGAGGAAACTCTTGGGGCTGGCCCCGTGGCGTAGCAGTTAAGTGCCCGCACTCCGCTGCTGGCAGCCCGGGATCCGAACCCCAGGTGCGCACTGATGCACCGCTTGTCAGGCCATGCTGTGGCGGCGTCCCATATAAAGTGGAGGAAGATGGGCACAGATGTTAGCCCAGGGCCAGTCTTCCTCAGCAAAAAGAGGAGGATTGGCATGGATGTTAGCTCAGGGCTGATCTTCCTCACACACACACACAAAAGAGGAAAAGCTGATAAGCACCTTAGTGAGCTGACTTTAATTGGGGCAGGTGAAGTTTGGTTTCCTTTCAAACTATTTAAATCATCTTGTCTCTTCCTATTGACTATGGTGCCTTGCCCAGGTCCCAAAAGCCATGAACTTCTGCCATGTGTCACTGGGGCTTTACAACGTCGAATCAGGGGGTGGGGTCCTCATCTCTAAAGTCTCTCCCAGCTATGAGTCACTCACCTGCTAATCCCCTTGTAAACTGTAGCATAAGAACCTTCACCCAGCTTCTCCAAGTTCAAGTAAGACGAGGCTGCCCCAAAAGGGACGCTCTTCCTCTGCTTAAGGGGAACAGGGAGGGGCGAGAAGTGAGAAAGAAAGAAAGAGCACATTTTTAGTGTGGATTTTTTTCCAGAGAAATTAGCATTACCAGAATGTACTTGGGAAGGCCTGGTCAGGAATTGCCCTGGAGGTAAGGGCCATCTCCCTAGATAAGCATGCAGTAAATTCTTCTTGATCAACATCAGCTGCTCACTCACCCACTGAAAACCCTGTCTCAGATCCTCTTCCTGAAAAGAATCACTGTTACTCCGTGGCCTTTTACTCTTGAACTTCCGGGCACGGACAGTCTGAAGTCCCCTGGGGTGAAATGAAGTCATGGAACATGATGCTTCCTTTAGATCTGTTAGCTAGAGAAAGAAGAAAGTGCAGGAATAAAATTTATGCAAAGTCAAGAGTCGGTGGCTGACATAAACCATTTTTTCTTTATTTGCCTGATTTTCACTCTTCAAATGTTTTCTGAGCTTCCTACACCCCCAAAAGTCACCTTTCCTGAAAGTCAGGTCCCTAAAAAAGAGATCATACTACCATCAACTGCTGAAATATTATATTCTTTCTTCACCTAAAACTTTGTCTTTAACACAGGTTAACCTAAATCTCTTTGATGGATGGTTTCCAATTTTTCTCTCTGTAACTCGGGCTTTTTTTTTTTTTTCATGTCCCCTTAATTTATCTCTTTAGGGGAATAATTTTCTGGCATGGCGTTGCTAATAACCATGAGCTAATTATTAAAATTTTGAATCCTGGCATACCAATACTGCAGCTGGGTTTCTGAGGTTCAGCTCTGTAATTTAGCACTTCAGAGATTCCAAAAGAATAACTAAATTTCTCGAATTCAAGTCAACCAAGTCTCGTGCAGTCCAAAGCACAGGATTATTTTTCCCCTTTGGTTTACAAGAAAATCCCCAAATTTGGTAACAACAGGCATAAATTCTCTGTGAGTTTAATAGTATTTTCTTTTTGTTGGTTTAGACCTACGGCAGAAAAATCAGACCCTGCTTCAGAGAGGGAGTCTCTGACCTCCTTGGTTTATCAATAGAGGAAGATGCTCCTCCTGGGATACAAATACCTCAATCGCAGCCTCGGTCCTCACGGGCACACTCCTCTGACAGCTGTGTGCATCGCCTCCCTCCCCACAGCGACGGCAGCTGCATCCAGGCTGGAGAGTCTTCGCACACAGCTCTTGACCCATAATCTTCTAGGTTCAAGGAGAAAACCCACGCTTGAGCCTCTCCCCCTCTGCCTCTCGTGTCCTCCTTCCCTCCCTCTTTGCCAGAGGTCAGCAATGCTGGAGCTTTCATATGACTCACATTCGGGCTCTGCCTGGAGCAGCCTCATGACTTCAGCAGTTTTTCCTTATCGGTGCAAGAAACTAGAGATTGGAGAGGCGGCCAACCGCATTCCTATGTACTAACTGAAAGCAGGATGGCTAATATAGGATAGAATACAGTTTGGCGCAGTTAAGGTTCTTATTCCAGCCACAAGTTAGTGCTATTGGTATACATAGTTTTCATGAATTTACATTGCGTGGCCATGTAAATGATAATGATATTTATTAGGCTTCCCTGGTGCTAAAGTGGACATGTTGAGAAGTAATTTCTCCCTGTTTTCACCTGAAAGCATTTTGCTTTTCAGATTTTAAAATAAATTTGCAACCTAGCCAACTTTTTAGTCAAAGAAACCACAGAATCATAGAACAGGAAGAAAGCTGAGGATATCTACTCCATCTCTTTGCATTCAAGCAATAGTGTATCTAATAGTCCCAGAGGGGTAGTCATTCATTCATTGATTCAAAAACTATCTAGTGAGCACCTGTGTTGTTCTTACTATACAGATAACAATGTTACCCAACGGTGGAGAGAGAGGAGTTTGAACGAAGTATCTCCTTCTTCTCCCTCTCTCCTTCCCTCTCCCTCCTTCCTTCCTTCCACATATATGTAATTATTGTTTACTATATTAATACATGACGCCTTTGAACAGAACTATTTTCTCTCATAGACTCCTAAGGTTATTGCCACTATAATGTACTAATCTGAGTGAGACAGAATGTAGGATACCCACACACACAATCTCAGCATTAAAGGAAAGAATGAGAGTCATGTCTACTATCACAACAATAATTATGTATATTTGATATCTGAACCTCACAACAGTTTAAAAAAAATCTTTCAGATAATTTAATTATGAGCATGTATTCAAGTTTTATTTCAAAATTGCGACAAGAGAAGATATCTAAAGCAGCCAATTCAAAGATTTACTCAAATTAGAGACATTTAGTTTAAAAAAAAAGTGACTACACTAATACAAAAAAAAAGAACATTTGGTTAAAGACTATTAAATTTTTGACTGACAATCAATAGAGTGAGAGAAGCTAGTTCCTCCAAATATTTCTTAATCCCATTAGAATTTATCGTAATTTGATTACAATACATTTTATCAGATATGCTGATTTCTTCCTAAAAGGAGATTGTGAATTTCATCATACAAAAGTTATATCCCAGACTGGGTTTGAGCTGGTTTTTTTAATCACCCTCTAATTATCATAAGTTTTATAATTTTTAAATGGTTAGCATTTTTATTAGCCTAGGGGGTAATTCATCTAAGTCACAAGTTGCTAAAATAGAATAGCTTGATTTTTTAAGGTTTAAAATGCTATGTTTAGATTCTAGAATGGGCTACTGAGGGAAATTGTGAAATAGTCTTCAGAATTTTCAAAAATAAAACAACTTATGGTCTTGTTTAAACTCAAGGAAATTATTAGATGACTTCTTTTTTTTTTTTTTGCTGAGGAAGATTGGCGCTGGGCTAACATCTGTGCCCATCTTCCTCTGCTTTATATGGGACGCCACTACAGCATGGCTTGACAAGCGGTGAGTCAGAGTGCATCTGGGATTCGAACCTGCGAACCCCAGGCCTCCGAAGTGGAGTGTGTGCACTTAACTGCTGCGCCACCAGGCAGGCACCTAGATGACTTCTTAAGATGTTTTCTAGCACTTGTCCAGAACAATTTTTGTTACCAAAGATTTCTGAATAAGGACAGAAGACTTAGATGACTTCATTTTGATCTGTGAATCAGACCCAGTTGACGGGCCACTCCGGGTCAGCCGGACCTACCTCAGGGGTTGGCTGCTTGCGGGGAGAAGCCCCCTCTGCTGTCCTGCAGCATGGCCACTGTTACTGCTACCTCCTGCTCTCAAAGACCAAAGAGCCCCCGCACATGAAGCTGACTGACGGAGAGGCCCTGTGCCTGGCCACCAGCCTGAATGGACCAACAGCGGCTCTGGCTTCTCCAGCAACTTCCTGCAAGGGCCAGGTGACACGATGGAGAAACGCGGGAATGCACCCATGGAATGCACCTCCACCATTGTGTGTGGAGCTGAGGCTGGCTCAGAAACACACTCCACTTATTTGCTCTCCTTCCTTCTCTGCTTTTCTTCCCCTTTCCCCTCACTTCTACTTCCCCAGGATTGCATATGACCCCTCCCCGTCAAAATCAAGTGTTACATGGAAGCTTTTGCTTGAGGCTCTGTTTCCAGGGAAACTGTGTTAAGACAAATGGCAGTCATTTTTTAAGTATCAGTAAAATTATAGGTTATCGACAATTTCAGGCTAGCTTCTCCCACTCTACATGTTTGGAGTCCTATTTCCTTTCTCAATTGGTGTGTCTTCAAACTACTGTGTTTAGTTGAGAGTTTGCACTTTTTCTAATCTTTGCATTTTGTCTTTATGAAATTCAGCCAGATTATTAGGAATTATGGTCTAATTATTACGTTTCCAGAATATGTAGATTATCACAAGCATTCAACAATTAATAACGTGAGAAATAATGTGAAGTTCGTGTTAGAAACATTAAAAATAATCCATATACCTCCACACAATGGAGTAATATGCAGCTGTAAGAAAAAAAATGAGATCTCTATATAATGACATGCAGTGATCACCAAAATATATTGTTAAGTGAATAAAGCAAACTGCTTTCGTGTTTTGTGTGTTACCTTTTGCGGCAAAGAAATAACGGAAAATAAAGTGTAGTCAGTAGTCTTACGAATAGTAGCAATATTACTACTTTTATTTTAAAACTGTTATTGGTATATTTTAGGATAAAACAAGTAAGCAATTATGCTAATATCATTAGAAACCAAATTTTTTTCAGCATAAGTGAAACTAGACATAAATATCAAATCAAAGAAATCAAGTAAAAATTATGTGATCTTAAATTTGATTTGGAAATAAATAAAATTTGTTATAAACATATATATTTTTTCCTTCAAAAAAAAGCTCTGTCAACCAAAAAAGATCTAGAAACATTAACAACTCAATAGCAATAAGCAGCCCTAGTGCTCAATCTGTGTTCTCTAAATACCATTTTCCATTCAAAAGAACCAAATGGTGGCTGAACGTCTGGAACATGAAATCCAAGAAGTTGTCAAGAAAGATGTCCCAGGCTCATCTTAAGTCAATGGTAGTCATGTTGAAAGGACATAGGAGCCAACTTGAAGGGACTCCCATTTGGCTTAAGATGGGACAATTTATAATTTTATTTATTTTTCCCCCAAAGCCCCAGTAGATAGTTGTATGTCATAGCTGCACATCCTTCTAGTTGCTATATGTGAGACACGGCCTCAGCATGGCCGGAGAAGCGGTGCGTGGGTGCGCGCCCGGGATCTGAACCCGGGCTGCCAGCAGCAGAGCGTGTGCACCCAACCACTAAGCCACAGGGCCAGCCCAAGATGGGACAATTTGAATATCAAAAAGAACAATGTCTACAGTGGATTGAAACACAAAATATGTAAAACCTATAACTTTTAGTGATTCTAAACAGAAATGGTCACCTGGAGGGTTTTAGTGCACCAACTCATTACTCTGAATATTGATAAATAAAAGGGAAAAGTCAAATATTTATTGTGTCTTTTGTATATAAATTGTTTTTCCAGCGTTATCAAATAGTTAATGAGGGAAAAAATCTTCCTCATAGAAGAATTCCAGCTAATAAATGCACAAGAAATGATAGAAGTAGAATAATTCACTATTATGCAATCCCTAACGGAATAATAGATCTAAGCAACCATCATCAATGGATGCTAAAATTATTAGATGAAAGATTGATAAGGAACTTTGCAATGAAGGGTTGGGTTGACACCATCTGAGTCCGCTGACCAATTTTAGCTCCACTAAATTTGGAACATCCAGACATTATGTGCCTTCTGATGTGACACCACTAGAAAACACACTGGAAGAACCACCTGTGATGTTTTTTGACTAAAGGAAAAAAAATTAACCTAAATCTAATCAGGTGTCTAGTTCTAAAACCAAATTATAAGAAATACAGAGGACAGAGAAGTTAAATAACACCACAATGAAGCAAACAGCCAAATCAGAAAGGACGAATAACTTGATTTCTCTAACAAATCAATGGCATAAAAAAAGAAAAAGAAGAGAATTAAAAAGTCTTAAGAGATACAACAGGCCTGGTGGCATAGTGGTTAAGTGAGCCTGTTCTGTTGTGGCAGCCCCGGGGTTCCATCCTGGGCACCCACCAACGCACCACTCGTCAAGCCATGCTGTGGCGGTGTACCATACAGAGCGGAGGAAGATGGGCACGGATGTTAGCCCAGGGCCAATCTTCCTCAGCAAAAAAAGGAGGATTGGCATCAGGTGTTAGCTCAGGGCTAATCTTCCACACACACACACAAAAAAGAGATACAACAAACAAATGCATTATGTAGACTTTTTATGGATCCTGATTTGAACAAATCAACTGTAAAAGCACATTTCTTTTTTTCACAGCTTTATTGAGGTATAATTGACAAATAAAAATTGTATACATTTAAGATGTACAGGTGATATTTTGAGAGATGCATACATTGTGAAATGTCTACCACAATCAAGCTAATTAACGTATCTATAACCTCACATAGTTAACTTTTTTTTTTTGGTGAGAACAATTAAGATCTGCTCTCTTTGGGCTGGCCCTGTGGCTTAGCAGTTAAGTGTGCGCGATCCGCTGCTGGCGGCCCGGGGTTCGGATCCTGGGTGCGCACCGACGCACCGCTTCTCTGGCCATGCTGAGGCCGCGTCCCACATACAGCAACTAGAAG